GTGTTTCTGCTGCACGCACAGAGGCCCAGGTGCATGATGGGAAAGACTGCGGAAACAGGATGTTGGTTAATGAAGATGAGTCTGATTCAGACTGCTGACGTCTGTTCCCGTTTTAAATTTGTTAACTTTTTTTACACATTATTCACCGAGGAGGAGTCACTGCATTATCACTGTTCAATTATTCTGCATCATTATCCTCCATAATGTCTGAATTATACAAATACTACCTGGACCTGTAGGATCAGTGTACCTGTAGGATCAGTGTCCCAGGATCAGTGTACCTGTAGGATGAGTGTACCTGTAGGATCAGTTTACCTGTAGATGTTCTCAGTGGCGAGGAGCAGCAGGAAGCACCTAATTAATCAGATTTGCGTCTGACTAACTTAAACCTTCTGATGAAACTGTTCATGTTAAATTAGACAAAGTATAATGACTATTCATTTTAAATATAGGTCAAATAATGCACCTATAATCTGAAAATTAAAACGTTTTCAGCGCACACTGAACTTTCAGCGAGCATGACGCAGCAGCTTTATAACGCGAGCTGCCAAGTCTCCCGCGTGACACCATGCCCACTATCTCTGACCATGAGAGTCACTCAGCATCTGCACGCCATGAAATTCACACAGACGTGTCCTAAAACCGGTTTATTGATAGATTATAGCTCACTCTCTTCTCTGCTTAACTTAGTTACATTAAAAAAGATTATCGATTGAATTTTCTGTTTCAAATAATCTCTCCAGCTCTGTACACAAAGTGTCTCTCATCCTCTGTGTGTAATGGCACACACTCTCCCTCTCGACCGACTGTATGAGCTCTCTCTCCCATTCAGAGATTGTTTTGTAGTTATTAAAAGAATAATCAACTACAACGCTAAAATTTAATGAAAATCAGGGCAACAACTAGTTTGGAGCTTGTACCAGTGTTAAAGATTCACCCCGCCACCCATCGTACTACGCGTTCTACCTGCTCGCCTCATAGACTGTAAATATTACGTTCGCCTGCCTGGGAGCTGAGTCTGATGTCACTTTCCTGCGCCGTCCACTTTGTCATTTCGTTTTCGAGTTGGTTTGAATTATGATCACTTTTTAGCGCGGCAAGTTTGAAAACGAAAAGCCAAAGACCTTTCTTTTTCATTTGAATGATGTCATACAATATGCATACATAGAGAGTAAAAGTATAATGCAAACTGGATGACTGAATATTCATTTTAAATATAGGTCAAATAATGCACCTATAATCTGAAAATTAAAACGTGTTTCTGTTACTGTATTTTCATTTTAAAATTTGATTTTTCATTTGAATTATGATACAGATTTAGCAAGGCATTTTTTGAAAATGATAAAGCAAATGTAATTTCCCAGTTAAACCAGTTACATAAGTTTAAGTGGGTCACAGTGTTAGTGCAGCAGCTTATGGAGTCATGCTGCCCTCTGGTGGCTGGAGGTGAACAATGCTCTGAGTAAAGTGTTTGATAGGGGGGGCGCGCACACACACACACACACACACACACACACACACACACACACACACTAACCTAAGGTGCTGCCTCGCCTTCTTGTCATGGTCTCTCATCGACACACTAATCCCTCTTTATGGTTTCTCAATAATATCGTGTTGTTGATCAGCTGGTCAACAGGAGGGTCTTCTTTTGAAGAGTTTCTTTTCCCTGTAACACCCGGGGAATATACTGAAGGGTTTGGACCCTCTGGATTCTGTTTGCTTTTTAAATTTCAACTGAGGATTGAACAGTTTCCTCAGTTATCTCCACAAACACAGCAAAGGGAGAGTCTGTTTGTCTTCTCTTAGTAACAGGTCTATAAGAACAATGTTCCAGAAAGACCTAACAACATTATGTCATCTCCTGTTGGAAGAGATTTGTGGATGATGTCTGGCTGATACCGAATCGATATTTGATCACTAATAAAATTAAGGAAATATCTTTAAGACTCAACCTGCTAAAGATTAGATTAAAAAAAATTAAGATATAGATGTAAACTGTAACTTTTGTAATGAACTTCCTGCTGTATGTTTCATGGAGCCCCCCCCCCCCCCCTCAACGTAAACAGTTTATTTTTCTTCTTAAAACAAATGTCACCTGTTTACTTTAATTATTTAACTTTTTTCTATATTGTCTTAGTATAGGTTACATAGATAAATTGTAAATACATTATTTTGGAATAAAGTTTTTTTTAAATAAAGAAAATTAAAAAAAAAACCTTTTCAATTTCTGCCACGAGGCACCGAGTCACGTGGTCCCGTTTTCCTAGCTGCTCATTGGTTGATTTTCTCCCGCGTGACGTTTGTTCCCTGCATGCTCCTCGGCTCTGTATTTCTTTATGAGATAGATTCACGGGGGCGTTTCACGGATGTTGAGGTTTCTGTTAAATGAATATAAAATGTTAATGTTTAATGAGCTCCACAGCTCGTGTTTGATACACAGACTGTAAACATTACAATGTAAAGATAAGCGTTTGAGTCAAACCGTGCGTGAAAACATCCCCCCTCCTCTTTGGTATAAATAACTTCCCGGTATGACATGATTATCGGTTGGTCCGATGGCGGTGAGATTTCAATTGATTGCTACAGTGAGTTACAGAACCTCTACGTTTCTTCTCTCCCCTCCCTCACCGCCGACCTCGACCAACCTTTTGATTGGTTCCTCATTACTCACCTGATTTATTTGTAATTAAACACGGTCCCGCTGTTTCCTGAGGACGAACTCTGGATCCTTGTACCCCACAGGGAGATTTCTAATCAAACTGTATTATTTATCTGAACGACTTGTTTATGTCTTCGGTTTCATCATGTGTGGAAAAGGAGTTTATAGATCTGATGAATTCATTCTTTAACTTCCTGTTTTTATGTTCATAAAGGTTATCTAAACATTTCTCTCTGTAACAGTCGACCTGTGAATTATCATAACATTTAATTATGTAAACAAATATATTTCTTTATCAGTCTGAACACGACACTCAAACGCTCATAGGTTTAAAGATGTTAAAGTCCTCGTGTGGGCGCGTCAAACATCTCTTCTCTTTAAAAGTAAGAATATAAACTGAACCCAACACGAGCAGATGACTCATTGCCTAATCCATAAATGATGACAGACGTCGAGTTCATTCAGAGTGACATCACACACAGGCAGCGCTGAATGCTCAGCTCAGGTTTGAAGCAGGTATGAGAATATGTCGTACATTAAGAACGCTTTCACTAATTCTAATTCTATATATTTTTTAAATTAACAAAATGCAAAGGGAGGTAAAAGATCTAAATCAATATTTAGAGTGACCATTCTTCGCCTTCAAACAGCATCTTTAAGGTACATTTGTCCAAATGGGTGCATGATCATCACTGTCATATGAGCAGTCGTGTAGGAGACACCGGGTGAGGAACTGCTCAAGTCTCAGTTTCATGTCCCAGGACACCATGAAGACTGAGCTCAGGGTAACTCCCCCGTCAGCGAGGTCTCTCCCAGGCCTCAGAGCAGCTCACGCTCTGTTCATGAAGCACAAAGAAACAGGACAAAACCTTAACCTTACCAAAACCCTGGACCCAGGTACACCCTCCTATTGTCCAGAGAAGTCTGGTCACGAGGCCAAGCAACTCAACTCTGCACAGAAACAGGAAACTGCACAAAAGTGGCAGCAGGTGCTCCAAACTGAGAAGCAGAAGGCAGTTTGTTCGCTGCAGGGCTAGAAAGCGTTACCACAACGAGCGTCTGCAGGAAACAGTGAAGCACACTGCAGATGGAGATGCAATGTTAATACAAGCAGATACTTATCCATCATGCGTCAGGGAGGCGTCCGATTGGTCAATGACCCCAAGCATACAGCCAGGCTCAATAAGAATGGTCTTCAGCTTTAAGAGGAACAAGGGCTGTATCCAAATTGCCAAGTACCTACTCAATCTTTCAGTAGGCAGTACCTACTATCCGTGCTGTATACTGTTAGTACCTACTATACAGTTGGCGTGCACACTAGGCAGATATTTGTTCCTACTTCTTCAGATTCATTCAGTATGGAAGTGACGTCATTTACGTTTCCCGAACCGGCCGCATCCACCCGTTTTTGTTTTTTTTTAGCTTTATTCAAGAAGCTGCTCATATACAGTCAGGTAAAAAAAAAAAAACATATCACAATGTAAATCAAGTAAAAGACAGATAAAGTAACTAAATAACACATAATAGCCTTCATAAAGAAAAGTACAAATGAATGACAGTAATATACAGAATATAAAATAAACCAATAAAGACGCATTTAAATAGTGACATCATTATTTAAATAGAGGGAGAAAGGTTTTATAATAATGCAGACATTTATTATATTTTCTGTTGTTAATTAAAAGTAGTGATTTCAGTCGGGACTTTAACTCTAGATTAAAAATTGATTCAATTAATCCACGCTCGTTTGTTTTGATTTGGAGGCGGATGTGACGTGACGATTTACGTTTAATTTTGCACAGCATTGTGGGTGGTAAAATACAATTAATTTCCTGAAAGCATGCATCTCCGATCCATACTGCATGAAACCAAGAAGTTAGTATCCATACTGAAATGTTCAGTATACTGAGGTGGACCCAAAAAATGCATACTGAAATGACCATGAAAGTTCAGTATACTAAAACTCCCTACCGAAAAGTACGTACTGCCTACTGAACTGTGACAATTCGGAAAGGACCAAGGAGTCCTGATCTCAACATTATCGAGTGTGTCTGGGATTACAGGAAGAGACAGGAAGCTGTGAGCCGGTCTACATCCTCAGAAGATCTCAGGTGAGTTCTCCAACATGTTTGGAAAACTGTGCGAGTGTACCAAGAAGAACTGAAGCGCGGTCACACCAAGCGTTAATTTGATTTCTTCAGTTCATTCACTTTGCAGTTTGTTAATTTATACAAATAGAAATACCAACACTTCTATAATTCTACAGCATTTTTTCACACCTGCCTCAAACGTTTGAACACACACACCCCCCCCCTGCACAGACCACAGACTGAACACCTTAACGTGTCTTTCTTTTTATTAAACAGACGTGTAATTAAAGTGTGTGTGTGTCCGCGCGCTCTGGTTTCACAGCAGGCCCAGTTTGTACTCCACCATCAGGTGAGGCTCTCCCATCATCTCGCTCTGAGCCGGATCTGTGGGAGGAGCAGACAGAGTGGGGGAGTCAGATAACATTTACAGGTTAATGATGGTCAGGTTAAGGGGGAGGGCAGAGTTTCTCACCGCTCAGGATGTCCTCAAAACCAATGACATCATCACTTCCTCTGAGAGTGTCGAGAGCGAGGTGAGAGCTCTGTAGGAAGGGCAGCCGCTGGATCTGTGTAAGGGGGGGGGGTTCATTTAAACAGGTGAGACAGTGGAGGTCAAACAGGTAATCAGTTTGTATCAGAAACACCTGAGCTCACCTGTCGGGCTGCTCTGTACTCCATCTGAAGTTTGAGCGGAGCGTGGAGACCCTGAATGTTCCTGAGAGTCGACAAGTTCATCTTGTCCTGGTTCAGATGGAACTACACACACACACACACACACACACACACACACACACACACACACACACACACACAATTAGGGCGCACTCTACGCACGCTTCACCCCTAAAGTCCAGTTCATTGACTAGTGTAAGCGCTCTGATCCGTGTCCCAGCTCGCTACTCTTCCTCGGCCCTGGCACGCTCTGAAGATGTGCTTCAGCACGGTACATTTCATGACAGGTAAACAATATGGACAATAATACATTCATCTTGATCATTAATGATCGTACGGTTTGAAAATGTTCTGCATCCCGTTTTCAATAATACTGAGACAGCCTTAGTGTTTATAAAATACAGAGTTCACTATCAGAGTATCAGTTTGTTTCTCGGCGGTGGAAACACTCGACTACAGGTCAGAGTCCTGGGTTCAGCTCTGAGGTCAGCTGTTTGCATGGAGTCAAAGTAACTGCTGTTAATGTTCCCTGTCACTCGTATATTATTAAACATGACTTCATGATAATCAGGGTCTATGAAGTTGAAGGCTCGGGTTTAAGACCTGTGACAGTCTGAAGGTGTATTAGACACACCTAAGATAAGCTGACTTAGACTCTACCAGGTGTTTTAATAAAGCCATGAGCAGAGGGTGTGCAGCTTTGTTCAGCACAGCTCAGGTTACTCACGTTTTTCTCAGACAGCTCCAGAGGGTGACTCGGGAGGAGTTCATTCTTCACGCTGCTGAAACTGAAACGAGGAGAACGACACGCTGAATACACAGAGCTACTACAGCTGCAGCAATCTAATGTTTCATACAGACAACATACAGAGAATCATTTATATAAATAAACATGTAAATGTTTAACTCACCCTCCTCTCAGGGAGTCCTGCACACCGTACGCTCCCTGCGGACACAAACCGGCCACAGGTACACTGTCCTTAAGGTGGGCGGAAACACCTCTGCTATTCTGTCAGAATAAAACATAAATAACATTATAAGTATATTTATTTATCACGTTATTTACAAGATGATATTTAGCCTGGAGCTAAAACCACACAGGTAAACCTATGATACAGGTAAACGGTCCTTTAGGTGGGAGGAAAGACTTCTGCTGTTCTGTCACAGTTGAACATTTACATGATATATTTATATCACAGTATAAACATATTTACAACTTTATAAACATGAAAATATTTAACCTGAAGCTCCTGATGCTCACGGCACACAGCTAAGCAAAGCGCTAACTAGCATTAGCTTCAGTGACTCGTCACTTTTAAAGATATCAGAGGATAAACGGGCAGAACAAATACTCAACTGTGGTTTAAATAAAGCTGGGTACATCCACACACACACAACAAAGGGATGATAACATATGCTAGAACTGTTGATTAAATTAAGATTTCAAAGATTTAAACCCACCATCTTGATGCGCCTCTTCCACTTTCTGTTACAAACTGCTCAATATTCGGTTGGGTCGCATTTCATGACGACACATCCGGTGTAGCCACAGTCTTCTTCGTGGGTTGAAGGCATAGGTTACCAACACCAACCGCTGTACATTTCGATCAATTCGTAAATCCGTGTTCGGTGCGTTTACTCTGTATTAAACGGAAAAAACACATTCACACCGTAAAACAACCGAATATTAGCCTAATAACGAGGTGAACTGAACTTTATAGGAGATTAGATAGATATAGCTATAGATATAGGAGTTTAACCCTCATTTTTTGTAACGGGGGTATAGCTCAGTGGTAGAGCATTTGACTGCAGATCAAGAGGTCCCCGGTTCAAATCCGGGTGCCCCCTCTTTTCCTCCAAACAATATACTCTACACACACTTATGTTTTTATGTAATAACGGGTTATGTTACTTTAATTCATACTGTTTATTGAAATGTAAGGGTTTATCATTAAGTTTTGTTGCAGTCATATAAAACAGCTGAAGATCTAAAGAACCTGATCCACATATAACCTCCGACTGCAGCAACCTGAACATGTCGAATAAGACTGAACATATTAATAATACTTCTTCAATACAAACAAAAACAATATTCATTAATGTGTGTGTCTGTAAAATATTAACAGTCAGCAAATCTTAAGAGAAATAATAAAGAGACATCAGTATGTGTGTGAGTGTGTGTGTATGTGGGCTTGTGTGTGTGTGTGTGTGTGTGTGTGTGTGTGTGTGTGTGTGTGTGTAAAAGGTTTAACTTCCATCGTAAGCAGCATTTGACCTCAGAGTTTATTTGTTTGTCCAATTTGAAGGTAGAATCAAATGTCACGCCAAGATGCAACAGGTTTAAAATAAGAAGACAGTGAGTTTTTTACAGGTTAAGCTGGTGGAGTCAGGGGGGGCGAACAGAACGACCTCAACTTTTTGTTCTGTTTTTAAAGATTTGTGCCATCCAGTCTTTGATTTTTTTGAGTCGAGTAGTGTTTGCAGGGAGCGTGGGTTAAAAACAGTGGAAGGATAAACCGTGCTTCCTTATGAGGCCACCCAGCAGCAGCAGGGAAAACTGAGCCCTGAGGAAACCCACAGGTGACGGCGGCCCAGGGGGACACGATATCTTCTATAAGCATACTTTTAAACTTCTGTTTTAAAAGTATGATTTAAGCATATTTAGAGCTTGACCTGTATCCCAACCCAGTCCTTAAGCCTGAGTAGTTAACAACTTATGTGAGAAGGGCTGTGTCAGCGCTGTGGTGTTTCTGAAACCAGGTTGGAGTGCTTCAAAAATCTGATTATTCAAATTAAAAATGGATTCATTTATTGGTAGATGACTCTGGATAATGGGGAATCTGGAGATGGGCCTAAAGTTTGATCTGATATTAGGATCTAGGTTCTTTGAGGGTTGTGTGCGTGCGTGTGTGTGTGTGTGTGTGTGTGTGTGTGTGTGTGTGTGTGTGTGTGTGTGTGTGTGTGTGTGCATGTGTGTGTGTGTGTGTGTGTGTGTGTGTTGACAGGTCAGCTAATAAAAACGACCCTCTGTAACTGAATCACTGATTTATTTCTTTATTTTTTATTTGTTTCAACCGATAACTAAAAAATAATTATGAAAATAAAGTTTCTACAGAAACATAATTCTGACTTCTTTCATAAATTATTGATTGAACTTTTGTGTCAGATGAGGTCTGAAATTTGTCTCGCATCACAGCGGCTGAAAATTAAGACAAGATACACAAACATCTTACAACATTAAAACACCAAACAAACTTTCAGAGGCCTTGAATGTGCTTCACTCTGGGATTCAGTGCCACATTCAAGTTTAGAATTGACTGAGGAACAAAAGAACGTTTCAGTCTGACCATATTACAGTAAAACATGGGACCCTGTATCTCCAATGGTAACAGTTAATATCATGACTTGGTTAGGTGCTAACATGCTAACTCTACCATATCAGCAACAAACATTTTTATAGTTAATCTGAAATGTGAGGAACATCTGAGAGGAGAGGAGAGAAGAGGAGGAGAGGAGGAGGAGAGGAGAGGAGAGGAGAGGAGAGGAGAGAAGATGGAGTGTGTTAGTGTGTGTCAGTGGGTGTGTCCACAGCAGCAGCTTCCACGTGTCTCCTCCAGGCCTGCTGGATGATGCTGGCTGCAGCCTGCAGCTCCTCGTCCTGCAGCTCCTTCTTCTGCAGCTTTGCCTCCTGCAGCTGCTCCTCCTCCAGCAGCTCCTCCTCCTGCAGCTCCTCCTCCTGCAGCTCCTCCTTCTGATGCTCTACCTCGTCTGTGTCCTCCACTTTATCGTCTAACTCCTCCTGCTGGTGCTGGTTCACCTCCTCCTTGTGGAGCACCACCTTCTGGACATCTTCCTCAAAAGGCTTCTCCTGCTGAGGTTCCTCCTGAAAGTCCTCCTCTTGATCCATCGCCTCCTGCTGGACCGCCTCCTGCTGGACCGCCTCCTGCTGGACCGCCTCCTGCTGGACCGCCTCCTGCTTGGGATCTTCCTTGTGGAGCTCCTCCCTCTGTGGCTCCCCCTGCTGGCTCTCGTGGGGAGTAACCTCCTCCTGCTGCACCTCCTGCTGGCTGCTGGAGCTAGGAAAAAGGAAGAGCAGACAAATATATTTCAACCATTCTTGAGAATTTGGACGAATCATGTCCCAGACAAACAAGCTTAAAAAGATCACATACGACTTTGTTTGATGTTTGCTTTGATATCGAGTAGACGTGTTTTGGGGGAGCTCCACCTGAACTTCGCATTAATCTTCGTTTTTGATTTCAATGATATATTTACACTTGTGTGGTAATAAGTTACACTTTATGCAAAATGACAAAACCAAAAAAAGGCAAGAAATACGAAAAGGGTGCTGGGGAGGAAATAAAAGCTGGAAAACAGTCCAAGTCTGGTTTTCTTCACTCCCCTGACCACATCCGTTACACCCCCAAACAAGCTAGTGAAACCCTTTTACTATTAATTAATATTAAATAAAGTTATAAATATGATTAAATGTAACACTTTATCGAAAGTTAAGCTAACATTACCAGCTGTAACGCTTTAATGACGGCTAAGCTAATGTTAGCATCATTAAACAAAGGTCAGTCAATTAATGACATGGTTTGAAATAACGTTTATAAATATAAAACAAAGAGAAAGAAACCTTTATTGAAGCTCTAACTCACCTCATGACTGCTCTGTCTCTCTCTCTGAACCTTATTAACAGGATCTCAGTCATTATTTAATTAGGTCGCCTAGCAACGCTGGGAGGTGACGTCACCACGTGTGTCAGTGTATACTTTCAAATTAAAAGTCTGTGTTGACGAACATTGTAAAACTTCAGTAACAGACATTTTATTCTCTTAAATCATTTATAGTGTTTAATAATTACACACACACACACGCACACACACACAAACACGGGGCGGCTGTGGCTCAGTTGGTAGAGTCATCACCTCTCAACTGAAAGATTTAGGGTTCATTTCCGAGCTGGGCAACATGTCCGATTTGTCCCTGGGGAAGACACTTAACCCTGAATTGCTCCCGCTGCTTCAGTGGCGGTGTATGAATGAGATTAGTTACTTCTGATGGATGATACTACATAGCGACCACTACCAACAGTGTATGAATGTGTAGGTGTGACATGCAGTGTAAAAGCACTTTGCGTATTCGGAAGACTAGAAAAACACAATATAAGCTCAAGTCCATTTACCATTCACAAAAACACACACACCAGGTTAGATTTAAATCAGAGACAGTTCCACCTGTTGGCCATCAGAGGGAGCTTTGTATTAACTAACTGAAGCGTTCAGTGTCTCCAACACTTCCCTGCCACACACACGGGCGGCTGTGGCTCAGTTGGTAGAGTCATCGCCTCTCAACCAGAAGGTTGAGGGCCCAATCCCCAGCTGGGCGACATGTCCATTGTGTCCTTGGGCAACACACTCAACCCTGAATGAATCAAACCCACTGCTTCAGTGGTGGTGTATGAATGGGATTAATTACTTCTGATGGATGATACTACATAGCAATCACTACCATCAGTGTGTGAATGTGTGGGTGTGACATGCAGTGTAAAAGCACTTTGAGTAGTCGGAAGACAAGAAAAGCGCTATATAAGCTCAAGTCCATTTACCATACACACACACACACTACATGTTGTCGGCTTTTGTAGTCCATCAGACTGACTGTCAGTTCTCTCTGTGCTATCAACTAATGCTAATCACATCTGCCATAGTGTGTGTGTGTGTGTGTGTGTTTATGATCTGCAGCGCCTGTGAGGAGAAACTTGTTTACCTTTGTTTAATTTGTTTATTTTGTTTTGTTGTTTATTCCTTGGTTTTGTAGCTGAAATGTGATTTTCTCTTTATTTCTACTCTTGTAGTTGTTTTCTAGCTTTTGATTGTTTTGTCTTTAATCTGAAATGTTTTTGCCTTTTTGTTTAATTAAATATTCCTCTTATCTGCACTGAGGTCCAGAACCTTTGTTAAGTCCCTCATGGATGAACCCAAATAGAGCTCCGACATGAACCACTGACTGACTGAGAGGGAGAGCTCCGCCTCCGAGTCACTCTCTTCCTCTTCTTGTACTGAACGTGCTAAACAGAACGGTCGGGGAAAATAAATGTGATTGTTTTAGCTGCTTTCAGTTTGCAAACTGTAGCTTTATCCAACTAAATTCTCAGCTCATTGGCTTATTATTCCCCACCAGCTGTTCTCAGTACGATCGTGAGCAGAACTAAACGTTCGGCCGTGTTTCAGCTTATTAAATTCTGATTCACAGACAGAGCTGCGGAGAAGTACTGAACAATTCGGTGAACAAATCTTTTGAACGAATCACTTTACTGAACTGATTCTACTGATTCAGTACACTGAAAAGAACTGCGTTTCCCATCACTACTGTGCAGTCCCTGATGTGTTAAAATCTCCATGTCACATATGTAAAAGTATTTCCCGATTTTGATTTTTGGCACAGTGTTTAAGGCATGCCATCTTTTAATTATGTGTTTTGCTTCACTTATCCAATGTCAAATATGATCCATATTACAGCTAGTGAAAAAATATGTTTTTATGTATCCCACTTCATAAAAATA